GCGTTTTGCTTATTGTTATGACCAGGCAGGTTTCGATCTTTGCAACTTTAAATTCAGAATCTAATGCAAATTTGGAAAAATTATTTGAATTGCCAGGAAAAATCATCTGGATTGTCTGGAAAATGGAAAAGTATATTGAAATAGGGAAGAAGATCGAAGAGAAAATCCTGAAATAAGAATTAAGAAACTAGTAAAAGTAGTAAAATTGTTTTAATAAAATTATTATAATAGTAAAAAATGTTTTGGTCTGTTAAGTCTTATACACTTCTTACCATTACCACAATTGGACTCTTCTGCTTATTAGTTCGGGTGGATTAAGCTAACTGGATTACATTACGTAGATACCTCCCTTAAGTATGTGCGTGATATTTAGTGATGGCGGCTGTTATGTACTGGTTGGTGGGATTCGCCCCAAATGATAACTTTCTTATCCGAGCATTTTGAACGCAAAAAGTTTGCAGATTTATCACCAGGGGACGATGTTTTATTGGTATGCTCCGATGTATTTTCTGGCGTTTCCCATTGCGGCATATTTTTTCCTCCCCGTTTTTTATAATTTAAAATTGACCAGCATCTATGAGGTATTCGTTCACTCACTCATCGTTGCATTTCGTAAAAATTTGCCTCTGCTCAGTTCGCTGGCTGTAACTCACTAACTTTTTCTCAGCAGTTATCTAGCTATCTCTTAGTATGCGGCTTGTTTTTACTAATTTTGTTTTTACCGTGATTTGCCGATGTCGAAAACAGTGGTTTGGGGGGCTTTATCAGCGCCACTTCTAGCTCAGCATCTTAGCTTCTGTAAATTTCGCGCATTTAATCAGCTCAAGTAACATAATTATTTTTATTTTCATAAACTTGCTTGGCATAGTGGTGAGAAGCACTGCCGTCAGAAGTAAGTGGAGGGCTTAAATGCGTCACTGCCACAACCAGTCTCCTCACTTTTCGTTCATCCTTTTCTTTGGGAAATAGATAAAGAAGCGCCCTAAAAAGTCCTACCTGCCAACGGCACTCTTCCGACTGTAATTCTCAGACCATTAAGCAATCGACAGCCTTGCCAACGGGTAGCTACCATTGGAAATGTGCTGTTTCTCTGAGGCTTTGATTGCCTCTATCCTTCATAGGTAGGGAGATGACTTGGCTTAATTTTTGCCGTTTTTTTTTACAATGAACTATGTTGCTTTTGCTAATGCATTTGATCGGCTTAACGCATTTTAGTATTTGGAAATTCGATTCAATTTTGCGTGTCGCTTCTTAGCCTCAGTTACTTTCTGCATTCAGGTAACTACAGCACTTACGCATCTTACTTGCTGATTTTAACAAAGCCAAACAAAACTTTATCGCGCAGTTTTCCTCTCAATTTGAAAACAACAATGATAATTTTTTTTTGAAAGGGTTAAATTGGATTTCTTTTCTTTTTCATTGTCTCTGAGGTTCGCAGATGAGCTTTTTTGCCCAGACTAGTTGCAGTAAAGCAGCGCTGGCGAGTGTATTTGCATAATGCAACTGAATTGCGTTTGGTTCGGAACTAGTAAAAAACATTCGCTGTTCGCGTTGCTTTGGTTGTCACGGAAGTATCTGATTGTATTAAGTGCACGTTGCCCAAAGCTTTTAGAAGTCCCCGGTCCAAGCAAGCATGGGAGCAGAAGTTGTTTGAGTTGCTAATTGCTGAGCAGTTGCAGATTCTGTTGTATGTCTCTGTGGCATTGTACGCTCCAGCTTTGGCTCTTTCAACGATCATCTCGATACCTCTCTCTCTGTCGATCCTCCTCACTGCTGGTCTTGCTGCACTTTATGTTATTTTGGTAGGTTCTTTTTCCTAATAAGCA